CAGAACAGTATGTCCTTGGTGGTGGTTCCTTGGTGCATCGGATACCATGGAAGACAGGAAACAGCTTTGGCAGAATAAAACGATCATATCCTGATTTCAACCCCCCCCCCCCCACCCCCACTATTTGGTTCTGCAAAAGTAGTTTTTGACGGCTATGGTGGAGGTCCGTCAATTAATGATAATACGCGCCACAGCGACGTGGGCAGAATGACCATCCAGTTGTCAGATATTGTATTCTCAGGCAAGAAGGATGAGTTTTTATCAAGAGACTGCAATAAGCAGGGACTCATACATCCCATTAGTGAGGAACTGAAGAAGAGTAATTGCACCGTCATCAATGTATCCGGGGATGCAAATGCACATATTGCTAAAGCTGCAGTGAATTCTTCTCGTCGTCAGTCTACTACTCTGATTTGAGAAGGCACTAAAATATTGGTGTTACTCTTGCATTACGCGGATGTAGATAGCAGGGAACTATACTTCTACTCTTACAATGCAGCTAAGGCTCCGAAGGTGTATAACATTAAGCAGTTGAAAGTGGACCTGGGTAAAGATCTATGCTCACAACTACTTTGTCGAGATGCCTACACTGGTTGCGATTCGACTTCCAGGATATTCGGAATCGGAAAGAGAGCAGTCTTCCAGAAGCTTGTGAAATGCAGCCCCACTTAAGAATCCAGTACTAGTACTTTTTTTCTCCCAAGTCAGCCAAAGGAACTAATAGAGGAACTTGGTATCAAAGCAATGTCTGTCATGTTTGGTTGCTGCTGTAATGACTAACTTGCATCATTACGATACAACTTGTTCGTCTAGAAAATTGCCAATACGACTCCCTCCTACGTCAGCCTATACCAAATTCCACTCCCTCAGAATATACTACCAAGTCATAGCATGGATGGAGAGTGAAATAAAAGACATGGACGTCACAGACTGAGGCCGGAAATTAGAGGACAATCACCTGGTTCCAGTGATGTTGAATGCGGAGGCTGTACCTAGTAATCTTCTTAAGTTGATTCATTGCAACTGCTGTACTGCTTGTAGCACACCTCGCTATACATGTAGACCTTACGGACCACCATGTAACAGTGTGTGTGGACTTGCCAACTTGATGTATGCCACAATCCAGAACGAATCACCTGCTAGTGAAGCAGTACATACATACATACATACAATTGTCTTTTATATAGCGCAACATCCAACGAATTGCTCGAAGCGCTTTACAGAAATAATGACATAGTAAACACAAGATAATACATGTATAAAAGAGTAATTATAATAACAAACAAAAATATTAGAATTACAATTTACTTATTGAAGAGGTACGTTTTTAGTTGATGATTTATTCTTACTCAAGTACATTCCTCATCAAAATGAAGGTACATATGAAGATATGCATGTGTATTCGCTATAAGATGACATGAACAACACAAGGTTTTAAACATTTTTAATCGTATTGTGGGTGGGTATTATGAATGTGTGTCTAGATCATAGAGCTATATGTTATTATTATATAGCTCTATGGTCTAGATATTATTATTAAGTTGTTACTTTGTCTTTGTCACCCCCCTCCCCTCCCTCAGTGTTGGCAATGACCTGTCAATAGTTGAATTGAACCTTTTTTTTCTGGGGGTGGGGGGGGGGGGGGGGGGGTCGTTGACACCATAAGGATGAGAGAGTTCATTTCCTGTTTATAAAGTGCGCCTTCTATTGAGAAATCAGAAGGGTAAGAGAGAAACATTATAACTTAATTTCTTGTTCATAAAATGTGCCCTCTATTGAGAAATCTTAGTGGTTTTGTGGCCCTTTGGACGCCATATTGGATTTCATGGTTTCCTGAACCACTGCTTAAAGTTCTAACTTATTATAATGCATTCTATGATCCCGAAAACCATAACGTAGATACTCCAATTATGTCTCTCGGATGGATAATAAGTGACCTATGACCTTTTTATGTTATGGCGGCCATTTTGGACGCCATATTCGATTTCGTGGTTTGTGGGATTTTTTATACCATCACAAAACGATTCTTACTTGTCTCAATGGATTCTCTGACCCCCGAAACCATGGGATAGACACCAACATTATGTCTCTAGGATGGATAATAAGTGATTTATGGCCATTTTTAGGTTTCAGCGGCCATCTCGGACGCCATCTTGAAAATAACAGCTTTCTGAAGCTTCGATTTCGGTATACTTTTAGTATGTTATTTCTGAGGTCGAATACTACTAGAAACCGTTGAAAAAACTTTTGTTGCAATTTTGTTGGGTTCAAACCATATCTTGACCTGACTATTATAGAGCAGGTTTGAGTAAAATATGTTGATCAACCTAAAGCCGGTCTTGGTTTGAGCGGGCATATGAAATGTTCAAATGTTATGTTCTGAAAAACGATCCCTTACTCTTCCTCTCTCTCCCAACGGAATATCATTGTCTTGAGTAACTCCGGAGGTATAGCCACGAATATGAGACTTTTCCTGGGCAAAGATGCTAATATTGTTGAAGGAAAAAAATGCAAGTTCTCTGGCAATGAAGAAAAGCGAGTGCAAGATGAAGAAAATATTTTATTACAATATTGTATGCATCATCATCGTCATCATCATCATTTCATTATGCACATGTCATCTACAGAACTGATCATGAAACGAGGATTAACAAAGTATTTTTAATTGAATATTGACACGATAGGTTGAACGAGAACACAAATGGAGACGAAATGTAAAACGAAGGGTTAGACCTGTTATTTATGGTTCGGTTGATAATCGACCGAGCTTTAGCAGACGACAATCATTGACAATGGGGGAATGAATAAAGGTATCGACCGATCTGCGCGTACGGCGGTGCTTACGTAATTTGTATCGTGAGTGTATTGAAAAGGAAAGACGTGAAGCTTCAGCAAAATAAGACGGCAATTTCCCTCAAAAATAACAGACCTTATTTTTCGTATTGATGAATAAAACTTATATACTTCACTAAAGGCCGACGCCGGTTGCAACGGGTGGGCGCAGGATCGCCTCGGTCGTTTCAGGTCATCCTACTTGTCCGAGAGCCCACCAGACCGACGTTAACAGAAGAAATTCTTTAAAAATTGACGCCCCATTAGATCGACAGCCATGACACAGACGGCCCAAGGGACCAAACATGACAAAAGGTTCACAAATCCGCGACTTCCAACTACATGTAGATCCAATCAAGACCGGCAAAACAAATACATGCAAAAGAAAATATAGAAATTGGAAGTTCCAAATGTCCACGAGGCCCACAGCAAAAGACACCGACAGCCCGTTAAACCGAAAAAACGAAGAAATACATAAAGTAATGCAAAAAAGTTTGATGCCAAAAAAGTACGTGTATTTTACAGTTCAAGAAAGATTCTGTGCTTAGAAATCAAAACATCAATAACAGCCAGCAGTGGCTTAAGCAGGATTTGTTCAAAGGGGTGTTAACAAATTTGAAAAAAGCGGATGGAGGGGGGTAAGAACCCTTATTTTGTTACAATTTAAAACAATTGAGGGGTGCTTTAACCCCCCCCCCCCCCCCCCCGTGTACGCGTCTGACAGTCACATTTCCGGCGATTAAATAGTTGTCATTGTTGTGAATGAAACAGCTATTCTAATTCAATAAGTTTTAACCGATTTTCAGTTTGTACTAATGCATAGTATCATGGGAAAATGCGAGAAGTTGTGCGATCAAGCGGGTAAGCTCAATACAAAAATTGTCATTAAATATCGTTGCAGTTACCTGGCTTCGGTTTATTCTAATTAGTCAATCATGCATATTTTCTCTTTTTATGTACTTTCGCATAATATTGCATCGAAACTTAGATCAGGTCATGATGACGTACTATCGTGTAGTCGACAGCCTGAACTGTTACCGTGTCGTGCGCTCATTCAGCTGAGAAAATAACACACCCTGAGAATGCCAGGCAAGGACTACTGTCACCGGTTCAGCGTTGAGGGTGTGTTATTATCTCAGCTGATTTGGCGCGCGACCACAGAACTGATTTTCATCGTGTATTTTACAGTTCTGTGCGCGCGACACGGACACAGTCAAGGCTGTGGACTTACTATCACGATGATGTTCTACAAACAAAACAACGCATTTTGTCACAAAAGGATCCGCCATTTTTCTCCATGACTGTTCCATCGGTTAGTTTGATCGGGAAACAGTAAGCACACAAACATGCACTATCTAGCTCTTCCCTTTGTGTAAATTTACCATCAAACACAAGGTAAATTCTTCAGATCAAAAGTGGAGAGCTAATTTTTAAGAAAAATTCCTAGTGCTTTATCGAAGAACAATATTATGCACTGATTTGTGAACTGATTGGACAATCTACACTACAATTTCATTTTGAAGCAACAGACATTTGATGTTATATTTGGATGGACCGGAGCACGTTGGTTAATATATGAAGGATATCAGACGAAAATAGTGGAGATATCAAACTTGAACTGACGGGGCCAGGGCTATCCAAGGCGGATTATATAGTTATAAAATTGGAATTCTGCTCGCAAATATTACTTTATCAAATTACAATTATAAATAATAATAATAGTGGGTTCGTGTATAGCGCTCATTTCAGTCAGAATTGACCCTCCTGGCGCTCCTGATTATTACCCTGGCTTTAGCACGGCTGCCATACGGCGCTCTAGCATGTCAAGGAATAAATTCCTACCAGGTACCCATTTACATCACCTGGGTGGAGTGTGGCAAATGTAGATCATTCCTTTGCCGTAGTTTCCAACACATGGTGGCCTGTACTTCAACAGAAGAAGAAGAAGAAGATTAGTAGGCTTCGAATAGTTTGGAGCCGCAGGGTACAAGAGAAAGATATACGTCTCAAGCTGTAGAGCAGATAACTTCATTGACGTATTTAGTCTCTTCCAAGAACGATTTACAGAACGCAAAGGTGATTTTGACAAACACGAGATATTAGTTGCCTACAACGAATAAATATCCATAAGATTCGCTTCAAAATTGGATCCACAGACATATCAAAGCATGGCTGAAAGAGCAGCAAGTAAACCTGCTGATGTCGATAAAGCGCTACACATGGCAGCTGGAAATGGTCATCTTGAGTTAGTTAAGTTTAACATCCGTAGAGGAGCAAAAATTGAAACATGTGATAATAGTGGTGGGACACCACTTTTTATTGCATCAAGCAATGGTAAACTGGATGTAGTTCAGTATCTCGTTGATCAAGGAGCACAGGTTGATAAGGGCACTAGTACTGGTTTGACACCACTTCATGGGGCATCACTGTTAGGTCATCTTGATGTAATTGAGTATCTCATTGGTAAAGGAGCACAAATTGATAAGCCTAAAAACGATGGTATGACGGCACTTATCATTGCATCAAGTAAAGGTCATCTTAACTTAGTTGAGTACCTTGTTGGTCAAGGAGCACAGGTAGAGAGGGGCAATAAAGATGGTCATACACCTCTTTACTGGGCATCATATGACGGTCGTCTTGACGTAGTTGAGTATCTCGTTGGTCAAGGAGCACAGCTTAACAGGGGCGATAAGGATGGTGATACACCACTCCATGCTTCATCACAGAATGGTAAACTTGATGTAGTTCAGTACCTTGTTAGTCAAGGATCACAGGTTGAGAGGGGTAATAATAATGGTATGACATCACTTCATCTTGCATCATACTATGGTTCTATTGATGTAGTTCAGTATCTCGTTGGCCAAAAAGCAAAGATTGATAAGCTTAATAATAATAATATGTCACCTCTTTACTTGGCATCATCTCAAGGTCATCGTGACGTAGTTCAGCACCTCGTTGATCAAGGAGCACATGTTGAGGGGGGCAATAATGCTTGTGACACACCACTTCTTGTTGCATCAGCCAATGGTCATCTTCATGTAGTTAAGTATCTCATAGGTCACAAAGCACTTGTTGATAAACCTAATGTTAGTGGTAAGACGCCCATTTTCGGTGCATCACATGAAGGTCGTCTTGACGTAGTTCAATATCTCGTTGGTCAAGGAGCACAGATTGATCGAATCGATAAAGATGGTGTAACACCACTTCATACTGCATCATGTCATGGTCATCTCGGTGTAGTTCGGTACCTTGTTAGTCAAGGAGCACAGTTTGAGAGGAGCACTAAAGCTGGTCAGACACCACTTTTTGTTGCATCAGGCAATGGTCATCTTGATGTAGTTCAGTTTCTAAGGAGTGTACAAGCACAGAGGAAAGGAGCATCTCCTGAAGGTATTATTCACTTTTTAACAGTAATCACTATTTTATGTAACAATTTTGTATAAGGACAGAACTTTCGGACATTTAAACTCTCACAAAATAGCGCATTATCAAAATATTGAGTTTTTGTCAGGATCTAATTTTTCTTTTACCAACTCTGGCACACAAATTATAGGAAGGGCGGAGTACTTTGAAAAATTGTTTGATGGACTATTCCCATTACAATCCCCATATAAAGTTTACATTTACATCGAAACTTTGCCCGTAATTTAATATTTTGTAATAAATATGAAACTGGTGCCTGGCCTCCGAAATTCGCGACAGTAGGAGCGCGGTTCGGAGTATGGAACTTCAGAGCCAAGTGGCCATGTTACAAATCTCATTATTAGCACTCACGAATGTGTTTGAATAAAGAGTTTCCACTCATTTCTTTCACCTCCCTGCATAGACTAATACCATGTAAATAGTTTCTTCTCTTTTACAGGATGAACTTTTTACCCCGCCTTCCTTACCCGAATGTGTAGAACCATATTCAGCAAATTTTCCTTATCCTATATGATTCAAGATTCAAGATTTATTCATTCCATTCAATAAAAAAACATATATGTATATAAAAGATAATACAAGTGTAAAAAATAAAGAAATACAAGTTATACAAACATCAGAATGTCACTGATCAGTACATTTAAAGGTAAAAGAATCAAATGGAATTTGGGTCACTGCAAAAGTTCAAATAAATTTGAACTTGTCGAGGCTCTGCCAAAGGTTTGAATTAAAATATTTTTGCAATGGATAACTATGTACATAAATAATTTACTGGACTATAACAAAACAATACAAAACGGAACACATATATATATATATATATATATATATATAAGTGAAGAAGGAACAAAACAAAAAAAATGAAATTCTCTTCTATCACATAAAATAGTATACAGGGGTTACGTACTCGCTAATAAATAAGATTTGAGTTTCCTTTTAAATCCATTAAAATTTCTAGTTTGACATATTTCCTGAGGGAGTGCATTCCTGACAAGAGGTGCAGTATGTTTAAAAGAAAAGAACACAAAGTTTTTTGTACATTTGAATATATGAAATTTCTCTCTATGACGAGTGTTTTTGTTAAAAGTAAATAGCACTTGCAGATTTTCAGGCAGTGATGTATAAATATGTCTAAAGAGCATTAATCCTACTAAATACTTGTTAATTATAACTGAACGAATTTTTATTAAAATAAATTGTTTATCGCCATTTGGTCCAATGCCACTTGGTCCGATACCCAGTTCCCTAACTTCATTTAGTTTACATCCAGTTTACATGGGTAAACCCGGTATACCCGCTATACGTGGTCAATCAACGTTTCGGCCAGTCATCATGCTAGTCAATTTACGGGCCGGGTCAAAAGCCACTTGTCCGTAACAAATTGATAGAACGTCAAATATATACATTTTCCGCCTTTTGGTCCAATGAAATTTGATTCATAATCATTTGGTCCAATTGCATTTTCTTCTCATATCAAGTGTTGGTCCAAGTATTATATTCCCGTTTGTCTTTGATTTTTTTTTGGTCTATTTTAATTCCGTATAGTCCCATTTCGTTAAAAAAAAATCATATGGTCTAATCATCGGTTGGTCATCATTCAGCCATAAATTTAATTTTGTATAATTGCTGATTGGTATATTTGCCAGTTTTGTCCATTAATTTTAGGCCTTTGTCTAAATGACCGATTAGTCTTAAATGTTTGATGTTTTTTGTTAACCAAATTTGTATTGTTATTATTGTCAAAAATGTTTCGTCATACTAGCACACGCGCCACATACAATACCATTAGAGAGAGGGAAAAGAAGAAAAAACGTGATAATGGTTGTTTTTGTTGGTTAAAGCGCATGACGCTGAGACAAAATGAATGATTTTTGGACGAAAAGGTTGTTTGAAAATATGTTGTTTAACGAAATGATGTTAGACTATATGAAAATTGGACCAAATGGTAATCTACGCCTATTTTTCTGTGTACATAGGTTCTGCAAGAGTTACAGATGACTCCACTGCGAAGGCATCAATGAATTTCAACGTCGTTACTGATGACATTGTTAATCAGGAAGGTACAACATCTGTAATACGCCTAAGTTATAGATTAAAAAGTAGTCTAAAAACACGAAATTATGAACTAGATATCTGAAAGTAGAGTATAAATTTTGATAAAACTTTTAATGTATCATTCCTGCAGTAAAGTCTAGGTTTGAAATGAATTGTACGCTAAGTAAAAAGGTAATAAAATAATCTCATCCCCCCCCCCAAATGTAGGCATAACCGATAGGATCGGTGCACAATAGTAATCGCCATAGCGTATTGAGAGAGATAGTTGCGACAAGCTGAAGTGGATCCCTTCCATATTACTGTATGTGGGAGGGAACTATTATGAGACAAACATCTGCTATAATCCTTGTAGACATTAATTGCATTTGATTTCAACGCATTTACATTTATTTGGCTACTACGGCCTCTGGTTAACATGAGATTTACTAAGTTACCGTTATTTCATTGTAGATGCAGAGAAGGAGCTGAATGAACATATCAATACCTTGTCAGAAGAACTCGGTATTAATCATTTCGACCTGTTTTGTGAAGCCATTGGCTTTGATCTGGAGCATTGTAAGAACCTCTTAGACTTGAACAAGTTTGATTACTCTGTAACCTACAAGCAACTACTCAGCAAATGGAAATTAGGAAAGACCCTGGAAGACACGAAGGACGTGTATAAGTTACTGGAGAAATACGGAATAATATTAAAATTCAAGTACAAAAGGTTTTAATTATAATTCGATTCCATTAATCTAATGAAGAACCTACACAAAATCATGTTCGGATTGCGTAATCGTCATTTTAATGGTCGCATGAATCTAGAGGTGATGGTGATTGAAACAGTCTTAAATCGAAGGTCTCCTGCGTTCACAGATACTGTTTATTAAAAAATATATATATAATTGCAATGTGTGTTTTCTTCATGTGTTTGAAAGTAATTTTGTAATATCTGGAAATATATTTTGTAATGTAATATTCAATTGTTCTGCATTATGTTATTGAATGCAGATTTTTCTTTGTTTAGGTTAATTTTTAAAAAGTATTTGTGATCTTGTTTTATTTAGTATTCACACATTACCTCATGAACATTATCGATTGCCATTGTTATAAATACATATCTCATTAAAAACAGCTGTTTATATGGATTTGAAATTTTTGGATTAATGTTCATACCTTCCTAACCTGTACAGAATCATTTTAATCAAATTTAGTATCGTTCATAAAATATTTTAAACAAATCTTCTGGTTCATAGACTATATTCGTTTGAGAGTGGTGTGTTTTAAAGGAGTATTCTAAGTGTGCTTCTATTTTTATTATCTACATTGCATAAACACGCCTATTGAGCATTTTGGCAGATATTCAACTGTCAATATGGGCCTACCTAATAACGTTTACATGTAGACATATTTGGAAATCAAAGTTTATTTGCCTGTGAAAGCAAATGATCAATACAGTGCCTTACTAACATACACACTAAGAAATAGGGGTACATTTGGGGTGCAGATCGCTGCTACAATAGCAGCCACCTATAGGGTGCAAGTCTGCAATACATGGCTGCTATTGAAGCAGCGGTTTGCACCCCTAAGGGTGCTCTTTTGCACCTCTAAGGGTGCAAGTCTGCAAAATTGCACCCTATAGGTGGCTGCAATTGTAGCAGTGATCTGCACCCTATAGGGTGCAAATTTGTACCATTATTTTTTAGTGTGTAGTATTGTAAATGTCTTATCCTGTGATTGAATTGTACATAGACCATGTATACTATTTGTTTAAATGTTGTAGAAAGAAAATATGTCAGTTTCAGTCAGATTATTATTTAGTTTTAAAGGTTATTATAATATTTTTAAAGATTATTATTATTTTGAAAGGTTATTTCTTTGTTGTTCTTTCTTTACGTTTTCACTTCAATTATTTACATTGTATATTGTTTATATAGGCCTTTATATTTACGGATTCATTTTATGACAAGAAGTGAATGGTATATTCTGCATCCATAATTCATAGTTTCATATGTAATCAGAATTTCTATATATAAGGAATTACAGCGTTATTTCACGACAAGGAAAAACAGATTCAATTCTATAAATGACACGATCGCAAATTTCTTTAGAAATTTCAATTCAAAGGAAATTCCAATACCCTATTGTATGTCCCATGGAAATCATGTTCAGCTTACTTAATACGTCATGTTCGTACATTCCAATAGGTGACGCACAAGGCTATTGAAATTGCCTTGGGTTGATATTGCTATCGTATTAAAAGTTGATACAATCACAAGATAATTATATATTTAGTCGGTTATGCACAAGTTGCAGCCCTTCATCTTTTTCTTATTTTGACATCTTGATCAATACAATCACATAGACAGCTGAACAATAGCACGTCCATTTTGACTCTGAATGAAATGGATGCTAAACCCAAGATTTACTTCAACGGTCTTCTTCCTAGTTGAATAATAATGAAAGTAACTCGTGAACATTATTATCACAAACTTGGGCAATGTCGATTTTCATATGCTTTTTATACTGACCAGTGCTCTGTCATCCACGAACGAATTTCGATGATTAGCCTACCAATGAAAGGAGACATTATTACGATAACTTTATATTATATTCCAGCAAAGTTTAATATTGGCTCTCAAATCTATCAGAAACACCGACATGGACATTGCAAAAAGTAACCTAAGGACATTGTATTCTTTTAAGAAGGCGGTTAAAACTACGGTTGTCCGAACAGTTTCTTTGAATACAGTGCCTTATTTGTAAATTATTGTAAATTTCCTCTATTCTAACAGGGTTGTAACAGAAAATAAGTCACTTTTTATCAAACTTATAAAAATGAATTTTGCCTTTAAACGTGGTTTAATTTGTTTTGGTATATTTCTTTCAATCGTTTAAATTGTAGACAGTCATACAAGTTTTTGTAATCCTTGTTTTTTTCTTCTATTTAACCATTTATATTAAAAAACAGGTGATGGGTTTAAACTTCATAATTTTCTTTCTGTGCATATCCGACATGTCCGATAAGCAATGAGCAATATACCTAATTGAACATCAAAGTGGAAAGGGTGGAAACACTTACTCAGAATTGTTATTTCAGAGTGTTTTAAGCTTATTTCTATGTTTTTCTTCAAGTGTTGACATTACATGTATTAATAATTAAAACAAATATCTGTATCTTTCTACATTATCAGTCTAGTGCTAACATAATCATGATGGGGTAGTTCTTTTCCTATACTAGGTGTACATTCTTATTCATATCCAATTTACAATGATATACATCGTAATTAATGTATCCCTAAACAAAACATGGTCAAATAGATCACGGAAGCAACATAATTATGCTGTGAAACTAAATTATAATTTTTTTTTTAAAGAAAAGCATTTTAAAATTATTCTCTTGTGAACAATGTATAAATTTACTGTTGTAAAATGGTGTGAGTTTAATACAAAATAATAACGTATGATTTGTGTCTGATGTAAAATAATCAAAACATTGCTAAATGTATCAATACCTTAGAGGAATCTTTCTTATTTTTGTTAACTTTGTATTACCTATACGCATTTGACCGAGAACGTATACGATTGTCATATGTAAGGTTCCTGATTTATATTTGCTTTGATTTTCTTTGAATGTCAAATTTAAGGCAAGTTCCAAAGAGCATGATTAACTGTAACATTATCAACTTCAAAGATTAAGCTGCCTTTCTTTCAAAAATAAAAGTTAATGTGTGGAACTGAAATTCATCGACTCATCTCTTCTTTTATCAGTTCTAATTACCCATGGTCTTGTGTGGTTGATGTTCGAGGGATAATAGAGCCATGCACAAAAGTAGACTGAGAGCAAACATTAAGAGAGACTGAGTGTTTACATGTAGTTACGAGAGCAGTGAGATAGTTTCCGTAACAAATATCCTAAAGCCTACATAATCATTTACATAATTTCATGGAAGTCACGGTTCAAAAATAGATCAATTTATAAAAAGCATTGTAAAATTATTCAGTTGTGAGTGGATTACTACATATACTGTTCTCAAATGGCGTCAGTTCAATCACAATAATTATCCTTTAAAATTACACATGTATATCTTAATATATAATATATAAATATACATGTATATAACTGTATATATAGTGCTTCCCAACATTACATTTAAAGCAATTTTGGGTCGTAAAAGGGCACTAGAAATGTCATTAAGAAATATGACCAATAATTATGCACTTTTAAGGCATTGGCGGTCTTATAAAGAACTGAACTGTCTCTTTAATTAAGCAATACCCATTTCAAGGATGACAGGGGCATTAACCCTTAGTTTTCCCCAAAATCAATTACTAACGTTAGAGCAATACAAATGTGTCCGTTCTGTTACTGAAAAGAGTACCAAACTGAAAGAAGAACAAACATATTCCGATCATTCATGTTGTGCCTACATGTGCCTATTGGACCTATACCTTTCTCCTTTATCACAATATACGGTCCTCCTTACTTTGGTTATTGCTGAAATTTCACCTGACTCCATGCCTTGCTCTTCTGATAAAGTTTCATTTCTGAAAAATGCAAAAACCTCTATCCATAACAATTAATGACCTCATTAATATCTTTATTGGGCTTGAAATTGTTGTTTAATCAAGTCATGCTTGCATGTAATCAGACATTTTTTATTTTTCCCTCCCAAATATGGCTCAAAGGAAGGTTTACATGCATTTTTCAATATAATGGTACTCAGTGCAGCGTGTTATGGATGGAAAGCTCCCCGGCCCCTGGATACGTCACAAACGTCTTTCTAGTGTTCATGCATATCGATGAAGAGATTTTTCTCTACCTGCTTTTCAACTCGTCCACGAAAGCAATCCTAGGTTAAAGTTCAGACTACAAGCCAGACGATTGGAATTATTTCATTCTATTTTTTTCTTCTCTTTCATCAATAGCAAGTAGTGCCTGAATTGCTTACACCAGGCATAACTTCAGCGGAGCGGTAAAATCCCACATTTAGGCAATTTACAAGGTTTATAATTTTCATGTCAATCCAACACTTGTATTAAAGTAATTTAAGCGCAAGAGGGCGTCCTTATTTTACTGTCCATGAATAGAAATCCAACCTTCATAGTAAAGAACCTTCATAGAAAGCAGAAAAATCAGGGAAGCAGACAAGTAAAAATTGGAATAAAATCGGACAAAAACTAACAAAAGATTTGACTTTTGGAAAGTTGTAATCAGTATACGTATCTGAGCTTAACATTTTTTGAATTGGTAATGTCTCTGTTATGCAGTGCCAGACAATTTTCTCATTTATTCCAAAAACAAAATTACTGAAATTTAAATTCATCTCTCAAAATGTATGACTCGGGATGGTCTTTTCCCTTTAAGAGGACCTATCATAATATACGATCTATAAGAGGCCTATATCTTGAGTAGAGACCCATGGGAAACGACAATTAGAACAAAAGAGAAATTAATGATAATTTTGTACACGACTAACGGGAGTATTGTTAATCCACTGACAACATTGCCTATTTGAGAATCGCATAGCTACACCGATCTCATCTTTTAAACATTCATAACTCTCCTATTATTAAGCTGATTGATTCTAACTTTCGCCATTCTATTTTTCTTATTTTGTTTCGCTTTCATACAAATGGACTAGTTATAAAGATAGAAATGCCCTAATTAACCGTGTGCATATGACCATTCGAGAGGGGAAGTTATATCCTGATAGGATGTCTTGCTCTTCTG